GAAAGTTGTGAAACCTCACCAAAAAAGAGAATGTGTGTTAAGAAGTTATACTTTCAAATGAAAATTTACTATTTTAATGGTATGCAAGTAAGGTACATAAATCTGCTCACATAATAAACTATAGAAAAAGATGAGAAGACGAATGGTAAGTGCATAAAAGAGCTGTGATATTGCTGTGATATTTGTGGTATGCAATGCCTAGATAGAGGCATAGCAAAAGCATATTCTATTTTTATAATTAAGCAAAATAATTATACTAGTTTAGTTTTCTGCTTTACAGGCTTGAAAGGCGTTATAAATGATTAAACAAAAAAGTTTGCTATAACGAAACGAAACAAAGAAAAAATTTATATAAACAAAAAAAAAATAAAAAATGTTGCCCAACCTGGATGCAAGAAAGAATTCAAATGGATAAACCAAGGAATGGTAAATTTTGAAATGCCTTTGAATTACATACATACATATCTACTACTATATATTTTGTTAAAGTTGTTTAGTTTTTGTTAAAAATTATGCTCAATACATAAGTTTGCAAATATATTTTCGTTTGTATTTTATTGGTTTGTTATATAAAAAAAATTATGATTTTTTGAAAAAAAAAAAACAAGTAAACGAAAACACAATTGAAGACCATAAAATAAATGCAATAAATAAACATCATTGAAATATAAATAAATTTATCAAACGTTACATACATATCTAAAATATGACAAACAACCAAGCATAAATCGCACAGATATTGATAAAGCCGGAAATGAGAACCGATGCTTATTTGAAAAGAAATATCGAAGAAACAAAAAAAGCAATGCGAAATGAGATTGAAACGCTCATTCAAGAAATTAAGCTGAAAATACAAGAAAAAATCTCTGCTTCTTGAAAACCGAACACCAGATAAATGAATGTCTCGCTAACATGAATGAATGAAAAATACACAAAGTACAAAAAAGTTAATCAAACAGCACACGCAAAGCTATTTTCAAGTGTAAGATTTTCTGAAAAGTTTGATTCAAAAATAATTTTTTAAAAGTATTTTCTACAAATACATATATATACGACAGTTTGCAAGATGCGTAAACATTTAAAACCTTGGCTCAACATCAAATAACGTACAAAAGCGAAAAATCTGTATGAAAAGATTTCAAAGATATGAATTGTAGATTATGCAAAACAAAAAAAAAAAAACAAAGAAATCCGTCAGGCATTCATAACATAAATACAAGAGTTATTAATTTAATTATTGCAACCATAGCGTACAATTAAAAATAAATACTTTGAATTTCCACGATATTTTATAATAAACAATTTATGCTAACATCAAACAAACAAAAAAAAAATCATTGCAAAAATTCTGTAAAATTTAGTTTAGTACTTGGTTCAAATGACGTCAAGAATCGTAAAACTCCATCTAAACAAATGATTTAATAAGAAAAAAAAGAGTAAAGACTGATTTTTATACAATTCCTAAAAAAAAACAAAAAAAAAAAATGATTTTAAAAACTACTGGGGCGGCACAGTACCTGAAGACAAAACTAAAAGTACTGAATTAAAATTCTTAAAAAATTTTATTTAATTATTTGATTATATTCCAAATATTTTTTATTCATTTAAGAATATTCAATTTCTTTGTTAATTTCTTCTTTTTTTGATCATTTTTGGTTTGTGCGTAAATGTCACTATCTAAATAGTATTGCTGACTGAATAAAACTTTTTCTAACTATTTATGTGTTTTTATTGATGTTATTAAATATTCCATAAAAATAATAAGCACCAATATACTCGTACATAAGTACATATACATACATATGTATGTATGTATTACAGCACAGACTTTTAGCCTACAATCCGAAACGCAATAAGGTAAGATAAATATATACATATTTTAGCTCAATATTATCTAATCGGATGTTTTGATTGAAAAATAAAAAAAAAAAACATGGGGAAAACACTCCATCTAATGATCTCATCTCAAACACTAATATTTTTGGCCGCTCGTACTCTTTTTTTTTGTCTCCAAATAATATATGTATATATATTTTTTTTACAAACATTAGTATAGTATGGAAAGGGCGTATCTCACATCGTCGCTGAGATGCTAAAAGGCCACAACTAACTAAAATTTTTGATCGCATAAAACGATGAGGGGACTTACAATTCGATGCGATGCATCATAATCAATCAAAAAGTGAATTCTGGATTTTTAGTTAGCTACTGCTTTTTGTATTTCAGCGACAATATGAGTTACGCCCTTTCCGTACTATACTAACGAAATAGATATGTATTTACAATAGTAGTATTGTAGGAAATTTTTTAAGTTTTGAAATATCACAGCCAAACACGTAAACTTAATTTTGGGCTCTAGATTACGATGCCGTTTTCAGAAAATCCGTATCAGGTCAAAATTTAGAAATATTTAGTGGAGAAATTTTATTTAAAAAAAAAAAAAAAACGGAACAAATTAAAATTAACAGGGAGCAAATTAAAAAAAATACCCGATTTTTCGTCGATTTCTTCTTTTAAAACTTTAAAAGGTAAATTCCACAGTATACAGTAAACCACCCATTGACAATATGCTTATTTGAAAATTAATACATGAAATATTGTGAATATATAGGATTTTTTTGTCATTAACCCATAGGCAACGACTGATGCAAAAGTACTCACAAATGTTTGTTGATATATTTGAAATGTAGATTTGAACAGCAAAATTGGTAAAAATAATAATAATAAAACAAAAATATTTTTAATTTCTACGTGGGAGGTGGGCGTGGTTATTGGCAAATTTTGCCAAAATTTAAGACTAACCTAAATTATACCAAAGGCAACTTCGACACCGACTTTCGTTAAAATATCTAAATTTTGTTTACAAACAGATAGGGTTTTGAACCTATTCATCTCATCATCCTGAATATTTTGATATATATGTATACATATGTGTATATATGTACATACATTTTATACGGTTAACAAACGCGCTTGCTTATCTGCATAAACCGTCTTTGCATTAATTCATGCATTATCCTTTTTCAAATGTGAATAAGCGGCTGAACAAATACATATAAATTTCGTGCATTTGAAAATTAGAGAGTTCTACCTTAAGCTAAGTAATACTTGTTAATCGATGGGACCATTTTACAAAGTCAGCCCACCATTGTTCACTCAAAGTTGTGTTCGGAACACGGTTTGACTTATGTAGGTACTGCATCCGGTCATAATCACTTACGTTTAACGCCTGATTTGCTTGGAATTTTGTTTTTTCTTGTTATTTTATTTTATGTGACTTGAAAATATTTTTCAGTACAAGAAAATATTGAAATTGGATTTCATTTGGGTTAACAAAAACGACAACTGTGAAAAAATATCAACCAATCCATTCAAATAAATTGTCAAATAAGCATATTTACATTTTTTGTTTTGGCTATCTGGATTATTGTATACTGTGGTAAATTCATTCTCTCAATTCGTCGCCATTATTTTTTTCTGCCGTTTACAAGGATTTTAAAATCATACATATAAAATTGAAAATAAAAAAATGAAATGTTCACAATTTTTGTTGTTTGAGATTGAAAATGAGAATGTGCGCGTGAGTTTACCTACATATTAATCCGATAATACTGTGGTGCATTTGGCCCATAAGCAGCCCGTGATACACTTAATTTAAATATTGGGAAGTGGATGGAGGGGGAGGGGAGAAAGGGCACAGTCCTCACTTTATAAAAATCTGCACCCCTTCGGATCCTCCCACAGACTTCTAAGGAGCCGTTTCAAAATGGGGGAAAGCGGAATTTACCGAGGCACACTGAGCAGTTTGAAGTGGAATATAACCCAACTAACAGAAACTGTGGACCACGCCGCAAATGACGAGCATGCTCACTGCATATCATTTTTTTTTTTTGCGAATATGCTCGTGTACCGTCCACAAACGACGAACATGCACCGAAGCCGAGCATGCTCGCGCACATGTTCGTCATGTCTTGCCACTGTAATTAGCTCTGATCCAGTAATCCATGAACTTACAGGATTTTACACGAACTTGCAGGAAAAATCTTCCCGTACTCCAAAATCCTGTAAATGAGAGTGACTTTTGGAGAGTTGTGTAGAGAATGAAGTTGCAAGATTTTACCCGAACTTTTTCTTCTGGTACAATCATGAAAAGTGTCGAGCAATCACTGGTTGACGTTTTTACAGGAAAAATGTTTTTTGTTTGTTCCCGTACTTTTTGATGTTACTCACTTTTTACTCTCACTTTAGAGAGTAATTTTGCTGTTTAACAGTTTTACAGGATTTTTCACGAAAAGTATTGGATCAAAGCTAGTGCTTTTTGCGTTCCCATTCACTTCTGCATCTGTTCTCCTTTTACTCTCACTTGAGAGAGTAAAAGTGTAGTTGGACAGTTCCACAGGTTTTAGTCCAAAGTTCAAAGGAACAGACTATTTTTTTGATTGGGTCACCCCTTTGGACGGAATAGCCCGAAATAGTTGGGCATCTTACTAAACCGTACACCAAATATGCACAAAAAATCCTCCTAATGACGCATCAGCTGTTTATCAAAATTTCCCTTCACGAAAGTCCAACACCGACTTTAAACATGTGTGGTTGTCAAGTGGAACGCAAACTATTTGCATATTTGTTTACTTCTCGTTAAAAATAATAAATTGCTCTTTTGTCGCCACGACAACACAAAATGGCTTGGATATCAGGCTTAGCAGATAAAGCCGAAAATATTCTAAATAAATTGGATAAAAATGCAGCAAGTGCGCTGCAAGTTACGACTGCAACTGGTGGCACTGGATCTGTAGATATTGGTGAAAGTAATGCTTTGGAAACGATGCGACGCAGTTTATCCAGCAGTAAATTGTCTTTGAAATCAGCTTTATCGCCAGCCAAGGCAATATCTGCCGGAAACTCCTTTATAAGTAGCGGTAAAGTAGACACAAGTGATGTTATGGCAACGTATGACACTATATTGACAGATTCCTCTGAGTCTAAACCAAAGATGGAATGGACTGTAAACTCTGCAGTCTCCTCCCGTCGAAGTTCCATTAATTCGCATGCAGATGCTGTGGTGGCCATAGAGGTGGAAGAAACGAACCCAAAGCATGTTGTTTTAAAAAAAGTAGCCACTGAGGGATCATTCCTCTCCAGCTCACCGGATGGCCAAGAGTTAATGGCTTTTAAGATCGCATTAAGTGAAGTGACCAGTGAGCGTGATGAATTGCGCGCACGCATAAACGCAATGAACCGGGACAACGAAAAAGCATTGTTGCTTAAAAGACTCCAAGAAAGTGAGTCACTGCTACAACGATTAACAGATGAGCGCGATCAGGCACAACATGAATTGGGGAGCGCCCAAAGCACTATCAATGCATACATCCATTCGATTTCAGAACTTGAATCGAATTTAGCTAAAATACAGCAGGAGTACCTGGAGGCGGCTCATAAATTACAAATGCAAATGAAGGAAACAGAACAGCAGCGCAAGGAGCTGCAAGAATACCGTGTAAAAGCGCAATTGGCACTGCAAATGAAGGATAATCTCATAACCGAACTTAAAGCCAATGGCTCATCCACCACCACTGTTGCTGGTAGTGAGGGCGAAACAGATTTACGTTTGCTACAAATGGAGTTCGATGCACTGAAACAAGAGCACCAGCAAACTTTAGAGGAATGCAATACCTTGCGGATGCAATTGGATGAGCTGCGACATGACTGGCAGTTGGTAAACGAACAACATACCACACTGGCAGCTGCTGCACACGCTGCTGAAGACGCTTTGCGAAAGGAATTGCGTACCGAACGTGAACAGTTGCTCGCCGCCGAATCAGAGCAGCGTGTACAAGCGCAAGAGTTGGTAAAGTTGCGACAACAGGTTAGCAATCAGATGGCAGCTTCTGCTACGCGACTACAAGAAAAGGAGACACAATTACAACAACTGCGTGCAGAACTGATGCGTCGCAAAATGACCGTGCAAAACGGTGAAGACGGCATCACATCAGATAGTTTTAATGACCGCATTAAGGCGCTAACGCAGACCCTGGTGGATAAGCAGCAAACTGTAGAGCGCATCACTGCCGAGCGCAATGCACTACGTATACAGTTAGAGAAAATGCAAGATCAGCTGCAGCAGCAATATACATTCGAAAGTAGTCTGCACGGCGGTAGGGCTGTCTCCCGTAATGCATTGCTTTCGAACACCACTGACGATGGTAAGTGTGCAAAACATACATATGTTCGGCAAAATGTGTTTATACTAAAAAGTATATTTGTTTTAACGTTTTATAGTAAAAGCTCAGTTTCCTCTATTGATGCGTGAGAATCCCTTTGATAATCGTGTGGCGCGTCGAGTTAAGCGTGTCTATTCCTCACTTGATTCGGCTGGGATCCGTTTGGGCGCATTTCTACGGCGTTATCCGCTCATGCGCATATTTGTGCTGATGTATGTAGGATTGCTGCACTTATGGGTTGTCTTTGTGTTGATATCGTCATCACCGAACTAGATGTAATGGAATTTCCACCAGTTTCCATGCTTGCCATTTCATGGAAAACTATCTATTTTTTTTTTTAGACACTTAATTTGGTATAACTCTTAATATATGTACATTAGACTGCATCATTCCCCATACAAAAAAAAAATCGGTACTGTTTTTCCATTGGAATTATAAAATCTATTATATTTTAAGACGTCCACCAAAATATTTCGAAAAAATATTAAGATTTAAGTGAGGTGGACCGATTTGAAAATACCTCCAAAGATGGAATTTTTATGAATAAAAATAGTTTCTTAAAGATTTTTTTTTTTTAAATCCGCTTAAATGACAAAACGGTTTAAGCTTAAAAAATTTGCGTAAAAATATTTTTTAAAAATTTATAAAAAATTTGGCGGGAATCGTAACAATCGAGATTTTTGATGCTGTTTTTAACTTTTTTCAAAGATTGGTATAAGGAAAACTTGAATAACTGAGCCTGAACTCTCCCGATTTAGACTTGTGAGATATCATTGGAAAGGTATTTTCTCACCCTTTTTATTTCTTTGTTAATAAACTCTGTGGGATACACTCTCAATAATTTTCACTTTATTTAAATTAAAATTTGTTTAAGACTTACCTTTGTAAACTTTGTTTGTTATCAAGAAAAAATATTTCATTATTAAAATTTCGTTCTTAAAAGATACAGTCATCTTTTCAATTAAATATACTATAAACTCATTCAAAGGATGAAAGAGAAAGGTAGAACGAACGAATATCATTCAAAGTTGAATTAAGATTTGTTGGTATTTAAAAAAAATATTGGGATCCGGATTCCACTTAAATAAAAACAGTGGGAAAATACCTTTCTACCGATATCTTATAAGTCGAAATCAGAACAGTTTCGGCTTAGTTATTTAAGTTTTTCGTAAATCAATATTTGAAAAAAGTAAAAAAACAGCATCAAAAATCTCATTATTACGATTCCGTTGAAAAGATTTTTAAATATTTTTATGCAGAATTTTTAAGCCTAATTTGTTTTGTCATCTGATGGGACTTTTTCAAAAAGTTCTTTAAGAAACTATTTTTATTCATAAAAAACTCCATTTTTGGAGGTATTTTCAAAACGGTCCAGCTCGCTTAAATCATAATATTTTTCCGAAATATTTTGGTGGACGTCTTAAAATATAATAAATTTGGTAATCCCGGCGGAAAAAACGCAACTTTTTTTGATGATGCAGTGTAATGTACATATGTGTAAGCGAAGTGTATTTATGTAGACATGCTTGTTGTATATACATATGTAACTATCTATTCGAACATAAAGTCGTTAAACCTACATATCGTTTGCAATTTTAACATTGAATTTATAATTGGTTATATTTATTTAAACTTCAAGTTAGGAGAAAACAGGATTTCTTTGACACACATACACAGTAGTATCTCAAAGAGGGAATATTGCGACCGATTTACGTCGGTTGCATACAACTTGTAATTGTAGATGCAATTGCGTATCTACCAATCGCCTGTATACTCGCCAATCCTGTATACTTGTGAGTAAGGGAGCAACGTTTTGAAGATTTTGAGCGTAGAATTTTTGAGCCAGTCCATAAATGTATTAAGGACTCGCCTCGAAGACGAGCTTAGGAGTAGCATTTTCGCCGAAAACTTGAGAGGAAATTCGAACTTCGAAAAAGCTGTTTGACACTTTTTAGAGAGCTCAACTCCGCCATTTAATATAAAAAATCCTCAGGTAATGTTTATTCATGATAGCGAGGAAAGTGAAAAGAGAGAAAACTCCCAGTGAGTTTCTGTTCAGAATCGGCCTGTATGTCTTTATGTGAAGAAGAGAACATAGTTGAGTTCATTAAAGGGCAGAGAATGCAACGTCTATAACTCGTCGAGCGCCGGAGTAACGGTTGTCATTGTTGCATACATATATATGTACAGTCAGCGTCAAAAATATGAATACCCTGACGATTTGACGATTTTCTTTATTACTATTTTCCATACCAATTTTTATAATATTTTTTTTTATAAAAATATAGTGAATGCAACAGAAACAACAAGTTCTATATCGATGGCTGAGTGGAAGATCGACCTATCTCGGCAGCCAGTTCGAAAACGCTCTATTTCAAAAAACTTTTCAAGAACGCCCTATTTCAGAAGTCGTTTCAAAAACGCCCTATCTCAGCTGCCGATTTAAAAACGCCCTATATCAGCATATTTTCAATACATTTTGAAGTGAGATAGGGCGCTTTTAAACCGAATTTTGAGATAGGGTGTTTTTCAATTAAAATCTGAAATAGGCGTTCTTGAAAAGTTTTTTGAGATAGAGCGTTTTCGAACTGGCTGCCGAGATAGGTCGATCTTCCACTTAGCCATCGATATGAAATAGGAAGAAATTGATTCTGCTGGCTTTTCCTGTTGCATAAACTGAATTTTTGTAAAAAATAAGAAAAATTGAGTATGAGAAAAATATAAATAAAGAAACGTCAGGGTATTCATATTTTTGACGCTCACTGTAGTAATGAGAACAAAAGGCATCCCCATTACTTGTGGCTGTATGCACCACAATTTACCCGATCAATAGACCTTTTTCGTCGATCCAACCCAGTATCGACCGGTGAGCCAAATTTGTCGTAGTTCGTCCCTTGATTACGCCGCAACCTTCTGCTGCGGCTGGCTGTTCTACTTTGTATGCCAGAGAAATCACCATATTTTGGTTAGATGTACTAATATCTTTCTCTTAATAAATGAAATGGAATGTAATCTGTACAACGGATAGATGTTGTGTACTTTACGGCCTCGGTGTGCTAGCGCTAGCGGCCCTAACGGCTCAAAAAGATCAGTTCAACACGATGCTCAACAAGATGTTTCCACCTCCCAAGTGGCATACCGCTCCATCTCTCGTATGAGGGCTAACCAGCAGCTCTTGGTACCTCACATCGTTTGCTCCGCGTGCCTTGGTTAGTGCACAGATCAGAACATACTCGAACCTCTGACCTGCGAATCACATGCGAGTGGATAAGCGATTGTCTTGCCCCTCGCTGCAAAGCCCTGTATCCACAATCATCGACTGCGGCTATCCATACTTATCTAGACTGATACTTAAACCTACTGACTTTGCTTCCGCGAATCATCATACCAACATTGAATTTAATTGGACGGCTTCGCGGAAGTTATCGAGAGCACCTTCGCGCACTTTTCACACCAATCGACTTTGTCAGCGAACGTCTGTTCCGAAAGGTAGTGACCACGCTTTATCACCAGAAGATTACGTATCGGCCCAACGGATGTATACATACTACCTTACAAATGTAATGACCAATATGTCAATGACCACCCTCAACCTTCCTGAAATCTCGGATGTCTGGGCGCAAGGTCTGACTACTGAAACCTGAGAAATCATCCAAAAAAAGGGCCGGTTTCTGCTTTTCCCAGTAATGACGGCTTTTGTGGTTGGCGATCGACGGCGAATAATTTGAGCGGTCAACAATCGTCGTTCCATTCTGCAGCTACAATCAGGAATCTTTCGGATTTTATACGTTGATAATTGGTCGATATTGGCGTCCAGAAATGGAATTGATATCCTGAGTTCGAAGGTAGAAGTAGTACCGTCGTTGTCCGTAGTGCAGTATTTGAGAGGTCTCTGACGTCATCCACTGCATCCAACTAGTCGACGGTGACCATACGTTGCTTTGTATTTGCCCCCCAGAGTTCAGCGAGCTATCTATGTACTTTGATTGGGACTGCTGTAACGTGCGCTGAGTGAATAGCAAGCTAACGAAATTGATTGAACAAGTCTTCGGGTTATTAATCAACGGAAATGGTTTTCCATCAGAGGGAACTTCTAGCGATACATACTTACCTTGGCCTCTTTCTTCTATGGTCACTTCCTCACTGCAAGAAGCCTAACCCTACTTCAAAATCGACGGCTTTACTATTCAAACCATCATAGTAATTTGAGTGGCCATATTCCGAGATGATACCACTTTCTCTCTATCCCAACCTTTTATGGTAAAGTTAATTTTGGATCGTTTGGCTACCTGCTCTTTGCTAATCTGTAGAGGCGTAAGCTCGAGAATAACATCCATTGCTGCTGTCGTGAGTGAGCGCCTCACAGTCACTACATTGACTCTCGAGCCCTAGGCCACCGCTCCATAGGTTATCATAGGTCATCCATCTGGGTATCCGAGGACTGCAGCCTCAAGACGTTTGTAAACTATTAGTGCTCTTGTGACCCTGGACATCGAGATGTTTGGTATCGAACGTATTGCCCAAAAATCTCACTTCGCACACAGTGTTGACCTCTGTGCCAACGAGAGTCATAGTTCTCGTTACCGGTAGTGTTCTTTTTATCAATGGGATGCTGGCTTTCTATTTCAAGACAAGTGATCACGTACGGGCATGATTTTTAATTTCCTTCCAACTGAAGTATGTTATTTATTGGTCCAAATAATGAGACTCGTGTAACATTTTTTTTTGGTAAAAAAAATTTTTTGGCTGACTTATATTTAAGCTATTTTGTTTTTTAGATGAAAATCGATACCTATGAATATTTTTTCAAATATCCATATGTTTGTTAAAAACGAATAGATCTCACTAATTTTTTCACTAAAATGTTAGTAATTGTTTGCTACTTGAAGATCGAATGGTAAAATTTTCGCTTTTTGTTTTTATGAAAATTTTTCTCGAAATTAAATTTTGCAAAAACTTTTCTTTCATACTTTTTTACAAGAAAATAGGTACTTTGAACTACAATTGAGCTGAATCCTTAGTAGCGCAAATTTTTTTTTCGGAGATATAATTTTTTTTAGAAAAAACACATATTGGAGGTGCATACTTATATATTTACTACAATGTAGTCAATAATTAAAGATTATTATTTATTATTATTATTTTCTTTACAATAAAATAACTTTTATATAACTTTATGTTATCGCACAATTTACAGAGAATCAGCTATTACTTAACCTCACTCCTATTTCACAAGCCTCCACTCATGTTATGTTCGCAAGTTTTCGCCGTATTCACACTGGTGATATTATTACCAACGATTTCATTTAATTAAAAAAAAATTAAATTAATTTTTAAAAAAGTTATGTGAAAAGTAAAATAGGCCAAAAAATTTTTTCAAGTGAAAAAAAATACGACCCTCATTAGTTGGACCAACAAACAATATATTTCAGTTTCATCGAAATTAAAAAGCATGCCCATACCTGACCGGTTATCTTGAAGTGGAAAGCATCAATACTAAAAAATACTGTATGGAAGTATTAAGCACTTACCAGACTTATACCGACATTTCGCTGACCATTAGATGACAAAAATTTTATTGGTCTTTAAAAAAATAATGGTAATGTTATTAATTAAATCTGTTTCAACATGATATTTTTAAAATACCGCAAATTGTTTGTAATTTCAATGTCAAGTGGAAATTCGGTATTATTTAGAAGCAAAAAACTTAAGAAAATATTTCATTCGTTGAATTTTTTTTTTTGTAACATTCGAGAGGAAAACAATTTTTCTTTATTGTAAATCAAACTTTTTAACACTCAGTATGCAGGTGTTGAAAATTACATACATACATTTTTATTCGCGGGTCTGCATTGAAAACTTTTTTTTTTTTTTTTGGTAAATATGCAAATTCATTTTATGCGCCTAAGCATTTTTGCATCATGTAACACATATTTCCCCTATATACATAACCACATCCATACATAGCTATTTATTAATGCATATTATGTAGTACAAGTATTTATGATACCTTTTTATAGTGAGTACAAATGTTTATATTTTTCTTTTTATTTATAAATACATTTATGCTCCATTGTCTCCGCTCCCTCGTGGTAGAATATTTCTTAAATTTATATATCTGATTTGTGGTGTTTCTGTGCCTAACAAGAATTATACATTACAAAAACAAAATTACGATTTGTTTAAAAAAATATTTTTTTTTTTTGTTTTGTGTATTTTTTATGAGCTCCCATACTTTTCTTGGTGATTTGGTGTACAGTAGTATATTCCAGATGTACAGAAAAAATAATTAAAAGCTAAAAAGAGATCAACTCGAGAGTTTGTATAATACATAGTAGATACATACATAATGTTTATATCTCAATCATTTAAAAATATATTTTTGCTTGCATATTTTGCATATGCAATTTTATTTGCTGCCATAAATTATAACATAAATAGATATAAGTTAATGCTTTGGTTAAATTATTTTTCTTCTTTTCTTTTTTTTGCTTTTTGTATTATACATTAAAAATTTTAAAATTTAGTGAGTAAGTAGTTGGTATATATGTATGTATATAGTTTATGTACATCTTATATATTCACATGGTGGTCGTCGTGCTTGATTTCGGCGTGAGTGTGTGTGTGTGTGTGTGTGTGTGGCAAATTTTGATGACTGTTTCAAATCAAAGAGTCCTTCAAACGATCGATTTTTGTTGTTGCTTAGCGATTTTTTTCTTTATCATTGCCATTATTTCGAATTTAACGCCTCTTACCGAAACGCAGGAAAACGTGATCAACATCTGAACGCTTCAATGGCGCCTGATCGGTCAGCATGGCTAATGAATTTGGAGAGAGAGAAGCGAGAGTTAGTTTGTAGTACACAAGTAAAGTATGTAATAAGTAGAAGGCTCTGTCTCGGTAACCACTTTATTGATTTCTACCAAACTTGGTACAATTATATCATTAAGTCTAACTAAGCGGATTATCGAAAATGATTGAAATCGGCGAAAACACCCCTGTCAATTTAGTTTAGAGAGAGTTGAAACGACTATATTTGATACCTGCGCCGGCTTTCGCCCGAATTGTTTTAATTAAAAGTTATGTTGTTTTACCTGCAGCCTCGCTATTCAGATACGATTTAAGTGCCGTAGCCAATTGCTCCGAATTGTTGAGTGCTCCACAAACCTTTTGAATGTGTGGTGGCATATCTTCCACCATGCCAGATTGACAGAATGGTGGCACAGCCATGGCTATGCTGGATTGCGCTGCAGCGATCAGAAGCGTGGCGAAGCAGAAAATTACGATCATTTGGCTGGACATGCTGGAAGAATATTTTAAGAGAGATATTTTTTTAATATTTTATATATATCATATATTTATGTGTTCTCTTTTAGTGATTTATATGTATGTATACATTAGGGTGCATCATTTTCGGCACCAAAAAAAAAAGGGTACTGTTTTTCCATCGGAATTATAAAATTTATTATTTTAAAATATTAAGATTAACGTGAGCTGAACCCATGAAAATACATAAAAAATTGAATTTTTTATAATGCGTTGAAGCGACGCCAAAGTTGTATGTGGACGGGCCATATCTGCATTCAAAATAAGTGACAACTCTGTATACCAGGGATGCCAACTCTTTTAGGGCTAACTCCACGAAATTCCTTAAAAAATCCCCCTATTTTCAATGAAATTCCCCCGAAATGAATTTTGCTACAAATTTAAAGCACTTCTTGCATTGAATTGAAGTACTAAAATACCTTATAATTTTGACTAGTAAATATTATTAAAATTTTAGCTCAAATATGCAAATCTATTTCTAAAATATATAAATATCATTGGTTTAGTTTCACAGTTTCCTTTCCATTTCGACGAACCAGTGAAGATAAGTATTACAATATTTAAGGGAAAACGGTGGAAACAAAACTAGGCGGTTGTTTATAATTAATATATCGATTGCTGAGTGGAAGATCGACCTATCTCAAAAAACTTTCAGAATTCGTTTCAAGAACGCCCTATCTCAGCTGCCGATTCAAAAACACCCTATATAAACACATTTTAAATACATTTTGAAGTGAGATAGGGCGTTTTTGAACCGAATTCTGAGATAGAATGTTTTCCAAATAAAATTTTGAAATAGGCGTACTTGAAAAGTTTTTTGAGATAGGGCGTTTTCGAACTGGCTGCCGAGATAGGTCGATCTTCCACTCATCAATCGATATATCCTTCTAACTTTAATAGCTTAAAAAAATAAAATTAATTAAAAGCGCATTTTCAATACCTATTCGTCCTTGTAAACCACAAAAAAAAAAATTTAATCCACATAATCTTCTCTTTCATCTGGTGTTGTAATTCTACATTGCACTGAATTTTTTTAAAAAATTTTTTAAGTAATCATATCTTTGAAAAGTCCTTTACAAAACCTGACGTAAGATTGCTTCGTGTGTTTCGATTTTTTTTTTGTTTCTGTCGCACGGTGTAATCGATATAACAATTTTCGTACCGTTTGAAATTTATGATATATTATGAAATAGTAAAACTCTGTGCAAAAATAGGGAAATTACAAAAAAAAACAATGTAGCTAAAACAGCTAATGCGATTTAAAAAAAAAAACTTAAAAAGTAGCTAATAGCTAAACGCGAAATTTCTAAGCCAAACGTCGAAAATAATAACTAAATTTAGCTACAAAATAGCTGGCAACACTGGTCGCTATGCACGGTTGTAATTACTTTAATATTCACACGATTGCATGAGGCAATTACGTAATGTTTCAAACCCGTAATAACAAAATGAGAGATTGGTATTACAAGTTGTAATTTATAAATGCAATTTTATCATCAATAGGAATGTTTTTTAATCAAAATCGTTTGTACATATATTAAATTCCCCCAAATCTAACGTCATTCCCCGATCACACCGAGAAATTCAAATTCCATCGAAATCGGGGAATTTGCCCCCCCCCCGGTTGGTATCACTGCTGTATACATACATACAATTTCCAAGAGCGTGACCGCAAGGTTGCCGCCTACATAGCAGTCGAAACCTACTAGTGCAGTTACTACCCAATTTGCCACACAGCGTCGTAACGACGTTGGTCTGGTGAAGTCGTTTGGGTGAACTCGAAACGACACTATTGAAGTAAATGAGCGATTTGCAAATGATTAGTTTCCAATATTTCATTATGTATGTCAAGCAATAGGAGCTCTTGACTCGAGAAGTCTGAGTCGCTTTTATTGCAGAGCTAAAAACTGGTGAATTGATGCATTGGTAAGCCCTTTTTGTAGAATTGGGAGTGAGATATTCTATTTAATACATTTTTGTCGTCCTTCGACAGAAAACGCTAACCTCAGAGGGTGATTCTGGCATGAAAATGTTCTTCGTGAAAACCATCTGCTGAAGGGCAAGTTCTTCCTTCTTTATATCAACTCGTTGAGTCTTAATCGATACATATTTAAGGCAAATGTACATAACTTTTGCTAAGATTTTTTTTGTAGTGCAAATAGTTCAATCAATCTTCTTTGCTGTCGGTTTACATTTTCTTCGCAAGCAAACATTATTTTTCTTTAAGTTACCAATATCAACTAATTGCAACTGAAAACACTTGTAGTTTGGTTTAGTTTTCAAATGTTTTTGTAGCGTTTGGAAATGCGCAACAAGCGTATCATTTTTCTTGCTTGCTGTTGTTGCACTCCATTTAACTTGGATAGTTGCACGGTGATGGGAGTCAACTTTCGCTGCACATCCAGAAACCTTCAGTTTCGCTTATTTCTCTAGGGGAATATGTAAATAAATAAAATAATAGTGAAGCAAATAGTTGGAGTGAAACTTTTTGTTATGGGTCCCTTTCCACAAATTTGTACCTACATACATACATATAAGTTTCAAATATAAGGGGACTGGATGCGTACTTGCTTCTATGCAGTAAGATGGGTAGCGATTTTTAACTTCAAAACCATGACTAATTTCAAGCATGCATTTCAAGCAACGAGAAAATTTAGCACTTTTTATTCTACTCATATTTAACATGGTTATGCTGGTAGATACAAGATTTTCTTCATCAGCTAGATTTTATCACATTATCAGGCAAAAATGTTAAAAATTAAATTTCCGCAACAATCAAATAACAGGATGAGCAAATGCGTAGATGAAAGCAAAGGCAACTATGCAGGTTTAAGGATGCTAATACGCACATTGATACATATGTACATATACATGCAGTGGCGGGAAAATAAACAGGGACGCGAAATTCTAAAAAGTTTTGGCATTTTTTCTGTCTCTTATTTAATGTTTATTATTTTTTATGAAGGTATAGGTCACTATCTCACAAAATCCAGGTTAGTTTGAACTTCCAATTTTGTACAAAAATTTAAACTTTTCAATCAGAAGTTTTAGAAAAAATTTTGGTGAGCAGTTTGTAGTTTTGAATTTTTTTTTTTGTAGTATTGAAGTTGATTTTTGGAATTTGGAGCTTACAAAACTGCATTGGTAACTAGATTTTTTTTAATTCTGAATAAAAAGTATGAAATCTCTTGAGAACATTTGTGAAAATTCGTCTAATTTTTTTAAATTTTGTTTGAAATTTTCACTTAGATGGTTTTTGTTAGATAGTGAGCGATATATACTTTCACTCAAAAAAAAACAATAAACATTAAGTTAACAATAGAAAAATAGTCAAAACAGTGAAAATGTCGCGTCCCGATTTATTTTCCGCCACCGTACATATGTATGTGCATACGCATATATAAGGTCAGATATATATGTAGCTGCACCATATGAAGATATGTAGGCGATTATGATTCCCTTACACACGTGCGTCTATGTTTGTATTGTATTAACTGCGAGTGCAACAAATGCCAACACATCAAAGTATAAATGATCCATCAAATGAAGACTGATGTCGATGATGTGTTTGCAAGCAATATGTGTGTACATACATATGTACGTCTGTATACGAAAACTATTTGCTGTTATTGAGCAAGCGATTGCATGAAGTATATTTTCTGGCGCGAAAGCTTGTACAATGTGAGCTAGCACAGAAATGCATTCCGGAAAGAGCTGACACTCAGAAGGCGTAGTAAAGAAGCTTAGCATTTGCAGGTGAACAAGTCTTCTTAGGCACCATTTGTCGTAGTTAAATGTTGCTAGGATATTATACACAACATGAAACATACATACATACATACATACATATAACAGCGCGCAAATGCAGAAGATTCCCTGCAAGAAATTCTAAAAACCGTGAACTGTCAAATCTGATTGAACGCTAAAATTGGTTGCGATTCTATTGCGATTTTCGGTCAGTTTATAGGCAACTGACCAAAGAGAATAAATATGGACTGAGTTCCAAGTTGCATCAATGCACTTACGGCAAATTTAAACGTTGATGAATCTTAGAAGTTGATCGAGGGAAATAGAATGAGACGCATACATACGCCCATACCAAGATCGGTCTGATTAAGGAGACGAGATCGCAGATGAATATTTTCGCAGATAGTAAGGCGGACATTCAGGCATAGAAAAGAAAATAATTGAAAATTTTGTGACGAATGAAGAAATGGGGGGTATTAATTCATAAAGGCTTGAATGATTTCGATTCTTAGAAAGTTTACCATTATTGAAAATTAGTGTATTCGAGTTAGTTTCGACACAAGTTGCCACCAAGCCAAATGTCCCTAGAGCATCTAGATGTATTTCGGCACCAAAAATAAAATTTTGAAAAAAATGTCGCTTACGCTTTTTTGCCGGTTAAGGATCGATATGGTTCGTTGTCCTATTTTTCAAGGTGACTCTCCGCCATGCCATAGTGCAAAGTTCGCAAGAAACACTTTAAATGTTAAATAATAACATTACCTTTCTCCCTTCTCTACAAAACAGTTTAAGGAGTATATGAATCTAAAGGACAATAGCAACTTCGAAGTGGCTGTCAAATGGGCCATATTTGAATCTAATAAAGTGCAAGTAGGCAATTCTAAAGAAACATGTACACCCTGCAAAAAATGGGACTAATCCGGGATGACTCCGGGAGCAATCGCAAAGGAGCATGCGACTAATACCACTTTTGATCTCTTTATATGGAATGAACTGATCGCTTTTGTTCGGGCATGTCCTATGAAGAGACTAATTGTTCACATTTATATCCGAAAGGGTATAAAAAGCGACTAGTCACTTTTAAAAAATAAAAATAAAAATTTTCGCCAGCTGAGATTCGAACCGGGGGGGCTCAGTTTTGTTAGGCGAATACTCTCTCTGTGTGCCAACGCCGCACATGAAATTTCATTGACTAAGTGCGTACAAATCATTAAATCGTTAATAGTACCC